GAAAGAAAGAAAGAAAGAAAGAAAGAAAGAAAGAAAGAAAGAAAGAGGAAAGGAAAGAATATCATACAAATAGAAGAGGGTTTCAACATTCTTGACTGTATTCTAGAAATTCCCATAAAGATTGGGCCTGAGGTGACCAACATCGTGTGAGGCTGGTGGCAGGAGGATGAGGGAGATGAGTTTATGAGCTCCTTCCCTAGACACTCTAGGGAACAGAGCCTGGTGCCTGCTTCTCTAAGTATATCCCTGACATGGGAAAAGCAGAGCATACCCATACTATCTGGAAAAACACTTCTTCATAAGAATCTCTAGTTCTATCTGAGCTGTTGAAACCAGCAAGTGGCATTATAGATGCCCCTTTTTACTGCCTTTCAAGTTTTATTTAGTCATCATTGCTAATTCAGTATTTATTAAACATTTGTGTATGAATTTTACTGAAATGCATCTTTTTTTAAATTTTATTTTATTAATTACACTTTATTCACTTTGTATCCCCCCATAAGCCCCTCCCTCCTCCTCCCCTCCCGATCCCACCCTTCCTCCCCTTTCTTCACGCATGCCCCTCCCCAAGTCCACTGATAGGGGAGGTCCTCCTCTCCTTTCTTCTGATCTTAGTCTATCAGATCACATCAGGAGTGGCTGCATTGTCTTCCTCTGTGGCCTGGTAAGGCTGCTCCCTCCTCAGGAAGAGGTGATCAAAGAGCCAGCCACTGAGTTCATGTCAGAGACAGTCCCTCTTCCCATTACTATGTAACCCACTTAGACACTAAATTGCCATGGGCTACATCTGTGCAGGGGTTCTAGGTTATCTCCATGCCTGGTACTTGGTTGGAGTATGAGTCTCTGGGAATACGCCTATGTTCAAATTTTCTGGTTCTGTTGCTCCTGAAATGCATCTTAAATAACCAAAATGGCTTCCTATTAAAAAAAAAATCCATGCAAAAAGAGAAAATTTAAATTAAAAATGAATTTTCTTTACTCTTTGATATTCAGTTCACTGCCTTCTAAGGCATAATCAACAATAAACGTGCTTTGTAGAGTGCTGATAATTAGAAATGGCACGTGCTGAAACAATAGCTGGCTCTTAGTCAGCTGATTGATAAATTATGTCTGTTGTTGTTATGTTTACATTGTTTTCTGAAGGACAAGAAAGAAAGAAAAGTTTATAAACACTATTCTTCTTTGTAACCAGCCATTTCAGACACAAGCTTGGAATTATCACACCAACACTGTTTAGGGTAAATAGCATCAGACACATTATGGAGAACAGAAAGTAGGATTCTGGAGCTTAAATTACCCAAACTGAACTCAGTTCAACTTGATTTTGTTTGAGAAGGAGGAAATGTGCCTATCATTTGTTTATTCTGCCCTTGTGACTTCATTTAACAATGGATTTGAGATTTGGGTGAAAATTACTTTGTTTTGTTTTGATTTGCTTTTCAAGACAGGGTTTCTCTGTGTAGCCTTGGCTGTCCTGGACTCGCTTTGTAGACCAGGCTGGCTCGAATTCACAGAGATACATCTGTTTCTGCCTCCCAGAGTGCTGGGATTACAGGCATGTACCACTGCACAGCTTGGGTGAAAATTCATATGTCTAAAGGCTGACTCTGTAGAACAGGCTTGAGGAAAGGGATATGTGGATCCCTGCTCCCCACTTACATTGGAAAACATGTGTATGAATTTTCTGGAGAGAACAGGATTTTATGAGATTTTTTAAATGTATTTCCAAGTAAAATGAGGGAAAAAAAATCAAAATATAACAGCTGGAAAATCAGGCCAATTTTTTTCCACCTTGACACTCCTTTTTTAATTTTTTTTTTAAAAGAGCATCTCACTATGTAACCCAATTTGACCTGGACTTCACCATCCTCCTGTCTTTGCCTCCTAAGTACTAGGACTACAAGCATGCACACCATATCCAGTTGGGACTACACGGTTCTTTGTTGAAGAACATCTCTCCCTGTCGTGTATATTGCAAGATATTTCACACAGCATTCTCATGCTCTCTCTCTCTCTCTTTCTCTCTCTCTCTCTCTCTCTCTCTCTCTCTCTCTCTCACACACACACACACACACACACACACAGAATTATTAGGACAACAAAGATGTCTCCAAACATTACCAAAAGTAATGTCCCTTGAAACAGGCAACTGCCTTCTGTCAAGAACCACATCAGGAGATTATTAATATAATAGGGGTTTTTTTATGGTTACCTTATTTTAACATAAACTATTCAAAGACCCAAACCTAGTCAATTATTTTTAAAAGTCTTGGTGGCATTTAAATGTTTGAAACACCTAAAGACACATTAATGCAGTGAGATTATCTTAATTTCCGTGTCTATCATTTTAATAATGGCATAATTACCCCATTTTGACTAGAATGAAACCTAACTAAAGAATGAGCAGGAGGGCTGTGATGCATTTTCTCTACTTTTTAACTTATGAATGACTTCATTTATCAGTCAGGAATAAGTAGGAAATTAGGAAATGTGGGGACTTTGAGTTCTTACAAGATGCTTTTAAGATAATTAGTTCAATAATTGAGTCATCGATCCAGAAGGTAGATGAAAGACGCCTTTAGAGTTTATCAGTGAGCCAGATGGGCTGCAAGCTGGAAGCTGAAGAGTCTCCCCAGATGTGTTATGTACAAAGTCCTCAACTTTAATGGATCCCTTTTTAGCGCTCTGCACCCAGATAGCCCAATGTGCCTTGATGTCAGGCGAACAGACAAAGGAAGGCCAGGTGCACATTCTGAAATGGTTTTCTGTGTTTGCACTGTGGGAAGGAACCTAGGCTTCAAGTGCCTGGCAGCACAGAAGTCCTGTGTCTTTGCTGTGAATCCTGATCACTTGAAATCCTCACTCTGTTCCTTCCTATTTCATTTCTCAAGGGAACTCTGTAAACCTTGTGCTAACTCCCTTATGTAACATCGAATAGAAGCCACGAGAGGAACTATCCATTACTGTTCCAGGTACCATGTGGAAAACATCTCAGTCCTCACTGTTGCACCCCATGGAATAGATCTTAGAACTCTCATACAGCAATTAAACAGACTCTGGGAGAGACAGGGACAAGGTTCAAACTCGTGACTCCACATCCTGACCTTCCAACAACACACTAGCATTTATGAGAATTTACAGCATAGCTATCACATGTAGTCAAAGGTAATAGTGTGACTGCTTTTATCCCACTTACAACATTTAACAACAAGATTAAGCAACTCGCCCCAGGCCACTTACCTAACTTTCTTTTGCTTTTTTAATGGTCAGGGAAAACTTTTTTTTTTTGGTATAGCTATTTTTGCTACCAGTCAAGATCAAAATCCAGGTTGTCTGGCACCTAAGAGCAAGTGCTTCATCACCACCGTAGATGTTCTTCTTTGTTGAACATACTGAAAGGTATTTGTAAGACTGGGGATGAATCTTAACATTGAACTCAACGAATAATTTAACTTTGAAAGCAAAAGGAGCCCGCTTCTCTTCTTATTAATGCTGCTCAGATCCTGATATTTTTATGACAGTGAAGACTTTGAAATAGAGAAAGCTCAGCATTTGGGAAGGTTTTATTTTTCCTTTTACTGTTTGACCCTGTGGGTAGGAATTAGGATCAACTTTTTTTTTAATGCTGAAAATTTTAATTTAATTGCTGTGATTTCTGTATTTACTGGATGACTAGCTCCTTAGTCTCACGAGTACACCTAGTCTTGTCCTACCCACCTCTTAATGGGAGCAAACATGACATGGAGGCCCATCCATTCTCCTTCACTGTAAAGGAGTGATGAACCAATTTTGGAAAATAAAAAGCAGAGAAGATGAGAAACAGACTTGGGTTTCCCACAAACATGTTTCAACCCAGCCATCTCACCTACTCACTGGAGGAAAGAAAAACTAACTAGCATGTACCAGTGAGGACAGAGAAAGTAGGAGTCATGGAGAAACTACGCTCTCACTTCAAGGTCATATAAATGTTGGGAGATGTATTTTGAAGCTGTCTTGAAACCTAATTAACTGATGTAAAACACACTGAGGGCCCCATGTCCTAAGGAACCCAGGAAGAACATGATGTTTACGTGACTGGACCAGGTACCGTGGAATACTCTCTTTTAAGCTAGAGATGGGAATAGGTCCATAGCACAGCATGTACTTAGAATATACTAGGTAGGCCCTGGGTTCCATATCCAGCACAGTAACTGTAACAATAACAGGGCAATCTGGAACCTTCCTTATCACTGGTAATTAGCATCTACCATTCTGTTCAAATTGGCACTCCTTATCCTACAATAGCGAGAGGAGGAAGTCTTTGGATTCAGACACTTTGCTGCAAGGAGTGAAAACCCATCTCTGCAGCTTATGTGTGGGAAGGATATACTGACTTATAAAAGGACAAGGTGGAACTATCCATAAAGACTACCTCAGGACAGGGTCCAACCATTGCTAGGGCTAGCTCTCTTTTTCTAATATATCTGCCTCACTTACTGGTGGGAGAACTCAGCCTCCAACAGGCTAAATTATTACGAAGAATGAACATTACAAAGAAAGAAAGGAAACTTCTATTTCTACTTCCATTTCAAATAAATGGTAGAGCAGGCTACAGCACTCTGGATGCTGAAGCAAGAGTACCATAAAGTTCCAGGTCTGCCTCATCTACATTGTGAGTTCTAAGATACCTTGAAGATCCCTGTCTCCAAAACACAGAAACAAAATGGTCTGAATATTCTGGTGGCCCCATCTTGTGTCACATGCCTGCCTCAACATGGCTGCCTTGGGATGAGGTCCCACAACTAGCTTAGCTTGGACAACACACACACGCCTTTGTATGTGGGAGCTGTCTCTTAAAGAAAGCTGTGGGTTTTGGAGCCAGTTAGAATAATCACTTATTGAGAACTCACCAGTCTTCAGTGATGAAAAGAAAGCAATGCGACAGGTAAAAAAAAAAAAAAAAAAATCAGACCTCTAATAACATAGCACTGAAACAAACAAGGGCATGGAGAAAAAAACGGGGGCAGGGGCAGGGGCAGGGGAGAAACATTAAGATAGGATTCAATCAGGAGCCGTTTAGAAGCACGCCAAGGAAGAAATTTATCATGTCAACAACAGGCATTGGCCTGACTCATGAAGCCACATGTTCTAAAGACCTGTGAATATAACCTTTATAATAAGATATGCTACAGGGGGGATATAGAAAGTGGATGATTCTGTGAGAGCCTGCCCTGTGGCAGAGAATCAAGGGCTCCCATTTGCCCTCTCCTAGGTCTATCTATATGCCCTTATTTTCTTGAGCCTTGCAGTGCCGTGATAGCCTTTCAGAATTGAGAGCAGGAATATACCACTCTGTACTAGTTCTTAAAATAGTCCAGCTATCCCAATTCTCATTTTTCTAAAAAGAAAGAAACCAGAGACTTGCCTTCTCTAAGAACAGGTTTTTTTTTTTTTAATGGTACTGGATTCCTGTGGAGAAGCTGAATTCTGCAGAATGACACTCCTGTGCCTTAATGTAAATATATTCCATAGACAGCCATAAAAATGGCTCCATTATGTGTGCACTTGTAAAGAAAATTAGTAACTGACATCAGTATTCAGTATGTATCAGCTGCAGTAGTCCACCTGTCCACTGAGCCCCGCACAACTCCCTCCTTTGGCACTCTTAAATGCCCTTGGAGGATCCCTTCAATGTCAGCATGCTCAATCACATGGCTTTTCTTTGATTTCTCCTTCTCCACCCTTCCAGATGATAGACATGATGTATTTTGTCATCATTATGCTGGTGGTGCTGATGAGCTTTGGAGTCGCCAGGCAAGCCATCCTCTTTCCCAATGAGGAGCCATCTTGGAAACTGGCCAAGAATATCTTCTACATGCCATACTGGATGATTTATGGGGAAGTGTTTGCAGACCAGATAGACCGTAAGCAAGTTTATGATTCTCATACACCAAAGTCAGGTATTTTAACTTCAATTGAGTCACATCTTTTTCAAGTCCATTTGTTTGTCCTCAATAAATGGCTCAAGATAGAGGACTGATTCCTAGCTTGCTTTCTTGGTGGAAACAAACAGTCACTGGAGGTTAATATACTATTTTAGCCAAGTAGCTCTAAAGTACATCTTCAGGTATATCCTTCCTGTGGCACAAATGGACATCTCGTATACCAAATTTGATTCAAAAACGGACCATTTTAAATGACATAATTTTGTGTATAACTCAAAATCTTAAGGCCATGTTTTTTCATATTTCATTTCTGGGAATAAATTATGTCAAAACTACCCACTCCTACCCTAATTCTCATCTTGCTAGACTTTAGAAAATAAATTCCTTGGGCTTGACTTTAGAACAAATAAACAATTCTCAATTTCATCATTAGAATTCAAGATTAAGGGCAAACATCTGTATGGTATTTTCCTCATACTAGAAACTATTCCCCAACAGCCTTTCTCATTGTCTTAAGCTATGTGCTATTGAGACCCAGATGAAGCCAGAATTCATTACCAGAAAGTATGGAAAATGCCCGTAGGTCATAGACTGAGTTATTTGCTGCAAATGCCAGGGGCCGGGGGTGGAGGCCTATCTATATCATAAAATGACTTAGTGTGGACCAAGAGCCAGCAGCCCCCAGTACCGTCAGCCTACTAGATGCAGAGTCTCTGCAATAAACAACTCCTTTTGTGTGTGGAGTTGAAGGATAGTATAGTCCAGGAGTCTGTTCCAGGATTTTATTTGGACCAAATGTCAGGGCACAGCCAGACATTGGGAAGAGAGCATCAGGAAAGAGGCATGTTTCACTGTGGAGCTGAATCCCAGGAGCAATTCTTTCTCATTTTCCCTGAGGAGTTTAGCTCTGGAAATAACTACCCTCCAACACCGTAGAATTAACATTTTTCAGGCTTTTTTTTTTTTCTGACAGGACAGCCATCTGAGCCCTGAACTATGAACACAGTTAAGGGTCACATAACCACATAGCTTATTCAGAGTGGGAGCAACGGTCTAGTCAGCGTCCCACTCTCCCTCTGCACTCCAGATAGGATGGGGCTGGGAACACAAGGACAAAGGACACCTGAGCTTGGAGTCCGTGGGCCTATGAAGAGCGTGTGTATCCTGGCAACAGAACACAGCAACTTGTCACTTTCCCCTCCGTGATGGATTTTGAACAAATACATTATCTTTCTCAAAACATGTTATCTGAGGCAAGCAAGATCTTTTTTGGAACACCTAATTGAAACAAATATTTGTTCCATGAGACTTAGCCAACTCATGGAGGAAGAATTTTAGTTCCATCCCCTGGTTATAATATCTTTGGCTGACGATGTGCAGCCTTCAGAAGGCAGTTTCCCAGGAAAGGGAATTTCCTGTAGAGAGCATCCTTTCAAATGGTCCCTACGGGCAAAATAACATTTTAAAAGCTTGCTGTGATGATTCTCCTCGGAGACTAAGCATGCTATCCCATCCACCACCACCACCACCACACACACACAAACACACACACACACACACACCGGAAATTGTTTTTCTACTTTGTTACATTATCTTACCTTTTCATGTTGTCCCTTCCCCCCCCCCCTCTCCAGAATGAGACAAAGACTCCCTGGGCATTTGGACACTGTAGTGTGGGAGAAAGGGGAGAGGGAGAAAGGGGGAGGGAGAAAAGGGGAGGGAGAAGGGGATAATGGATGTGTTTTACCAATGGGATTCTGTCTGTCCCTCTACAAGTGGCCATTTATTGATGTTGTACTATGAGCCCAGCCTAGTGCAACAAACACTACCATCTGCTGAACATGAGGATTTAGTATTTGCTGTTTTACAAGAAGGGCTGATTATAGTTTAGAACTTGAAATCTCCCTAACCCACCACCTACCACCCGACCCCAGCAAGACAGACTAGAGGAGTTTTGTGTGACTTACAGACAAATTCCCCACTCTGTGAATTAGATCTCTGGTGCTCTATGTGTGTGAGGAGAAATCTTGACCCAAAACCCCAAAATAAAACTGACCTCGCCTTAGATGGATATGACCTTCCTGAAGCCCTGCCCTCTTCCTCTGCGATGTACTGGAGTTGGCTGCAATGGCAGACTCTGTTCTAAGCTAAATCAGCCAGTTTTCTGTCTAGAGTGCTAAAGAGTATTCGTCCTTTCTCAAATGGATTTAGATTGTTGTCCCCAAACCTCAAATAGCATTCGGCCAAGGTCACTGAAAATCACTGTCCTATTAATGACTCAGTGCCTGTACTGTGGCACCGGGTAGTCCCTGTGAGGCTTGGATGCCTGCTTGCACTTGGCTCTTCAGAACTGCCCAAGAAAACAGTACCAAACAAACTGTTTGAGAAAGGTACAAGTCGTTGACGCTGCCCTACAGTGTGTGGCCTTTTCTCTGTGCCTTGTCCAGGTTGGTGTGTGAAGCATGTATTCAGGCTGACTGGATCTCATGTCCAACTGGACCCAAGGCCCTGCCCAGGGCCTCCCAAGCCCATGCTATGGATGGACCCCATGTGGCCCTTTCCAAGTGCTGCTCATTCACACACACCTCAGATGGTTCATTCCTAAGTTGATGCACACGCTCCATAGCTAACTCTGGCTTTGGCTTCTAAGTTGCTGGACCCATTTCATGCTGGGGGAAACTGTCACCTTCTTAACTGGGGCTGATCACTGTGAATATGCAATGGGGCCCTCAGAATGGGTTATTCACATCAATGTCACACCTCAGACTGGAGGGCAACTATAATGCCCTTTCTTCGGAAAGGCGGTGTCACCTAACAGTGGCTATTTTGGTATATATTTTATTTATTATCCTGTTAATTAGACAGAAATTACCTATAAAGCCAAAAACTGTAGGATGAGACTTGTAAGGTTACTTTCCAAATGTGCTTAAAACTAAAAAGACAAAAAAAAAATGGAATATTTTAAAAATCACAAAATAACAAGTACATTTCCTTCTATTCTATATTGGACTAACACAAATGATAGAGCAGCTTAAAGAGGATAGGGTTTTGCTTCAGATTTGGAAGCAGAGGAGTACAAGAATGTGAGTGAAAGTAGATGATGATGGAAATGAAGAAGGGGCAGCAGCCTGGAGGTTGGACCTCATGCCGATCGGATTTGTGGGAACTGAATTTGCTGCTGTTGGCTGGTTAGTTGGTCAGTTGATATTTGGGATTTGCTTTGCTTGGTTTTGATTTCTGTTGTTGGTTTGTTTTGTTGTTGTTGTTGTTGTTTTACAGATAACCTGTAACTGACCTTGAATATCCATGCTACTTATGATACTTTGCTTGGTTTGGGTTTTTTTGCTGTTGTTTTTTTTTTTTTCCAGGCAACCTGTAACTGATGTTGAATACTCGCGTTACATACTGCTTTGCTAAGCCCCAGCTAATGGCTACCAGAATGACTTAGAGTTCAGGGTATTAAATATTCCAATATCGGCCTGTGGCTGTAGCCCAGTGATAGAGCATTTGCCTCATACATGGGAAGTTCTGGGTTCAATACCCAATGCCACACAATAATTCATCCTTTGTGCTCTATTAAACACACAAATACCAATTACAACATTCTACTGGAGGTCTCATTAGGGTGACCCGTACAGCATGGCCTCAGAGGGCTAGCCAGGACCCCAGAACTGTTTGGGTGTAAAACCCTCCTAAAGAGCAGAACAACAGAGTAAAGAAATTTCCAGCAGTATCTGTGCCAAGGCTAGAATGGAATTTTAAAAATGGGTGACTTTTTGTCAGCTCAGAAACCCGGTGTGGTAGGTAGGGTGCTTGGAAGTACCCCTTTATTAGCAGAGGAGACAGGGTATCTGACAGCTCCAGCCTCTTACTAGATGAGGCTTCTTCCTTACAGGGCATCCCGGTGTATATTCAGATTCCCCAGGATGTACCGAGGCAGGAGAGAAATGAATCATGCTCTTGAATGCATTAAATACAGGTCTAAATTTAGTCCTCCTTTCTGCCTCTCTGGGTATTTTTACAAGTTTAGATAGTACTGTGAAAGCAGAATGTCCAGGACTTACTTTCTACCATGACAACTTAATATTACTTAGCCATTTCCACTCCGAATTAACTATCCAATCTTCTTAGTACATGGGTCATTTTTTTTTCTTACTGGCTGGGGCTTTTTATGTCTGAAATTAACAGGTACTCTGAAGGAGGGGGAGAAGATGTTTTGTTTTTGATTGATTGATTAAATGCAACATTTTGCTCTTAGCTAATAATCCCCTGCTCTTTGGTATCCAGGTTGTCTCCGCAGCTTTGACTCAAACACCGGTCGAGTATGCTTATAGCGACTTCAAGTACTGTATTGAATTACTTTTCTGTCTCCAATAAATTGTTCCTTGACTTGGGTATGGTAGTAGAACAGCTCGAATGTCTAAAATATATTTGCCATGGGGAAGCGTAGAGCATTGGGAGCAAGGAAGATGGTGAATGGGGTGTGTCTCAGTCATTTCACTCCAGTTCTCAGAACTTGGGGTCTGGGCTTCTGTTTGGTATTCCAGACCGACCTCTAATGGCTTCAGAGCACACTGATGCCTAACAGCTAGAGCTTGCGGCATGCTGCCCAACCAGGAAGAGTACTCTGGGAATGAAAAGCTGGGGCCAGTGCCAGCTTTGGGGGAAAAGGGAATTGTTTCATTAGGTTTTGTTGTCACAAACTGCTAAGGAAGCTAGCCAACGCTGGGCTGTCCCTGAAAAAGTCAGCTCACACTACAAAGAATACCCACATGACTTATTTACTAATACGAACTTGGGCTTGAGATTTACAGAGGACAGAGCTGTCTATGCTAGGCCACTCTTGTGACCCGTATGCATTCCACTGTCATGATAGCCACTGTAATTTGCTTGCAGGTTGGAATCTATTTAGAGTCTATTCTTCATTCAAAGGGTGTGTGTGTGTGTGTGTGTGTGTGTGTGTGTGTGTGTGTGTGTGT